TATAGCCTGCACCATAAGAGTAACCACAGAATTTTCTTTTAAAGTTCATTTCATTTATATTATCACTGATAATAATACAATACTCTCATTAACTGCAACTCATAGAAATCAATATAAGCTGCTTAAATCAACATGAACATTGTTTTATGCTAGTTTAAAGAAGACAACTCTGAAGAACTTCGCGGACTCTGTTTAGGTGATATCAGCAGATCCTTCTTGCCAGTAGGCAGGTATAAAACTTGCCTGGGTCTGGTTTAGCTGTGATATACTTCTGTAAATAACATAACAGGAACAGACTTTGTCTTAAAAAAAAAAAATCTTTGGTTTATGTTTTCTAGAAATGACTCCTGGCCTTCCTCAGAAGTTCTTCCACACTCCCTAAATGCCACCAGAAATGTGAGACACCTGCTCTACAGTTGGCCTGTTCAGGAAGGTATGATGGGTTTTCCAGAGAACACATTCAAATAGTCTTTGCTGAATACAGCAGGATTTCTGACCACAACTCCTTTTAACTCAAGTGAAAAATAAAAGAAAATGTTGCAGGTTTATACATTATTACAAATTCTGGTTTTTAAGGCTCTCTTAGGATCAGAGTTTCTCCAAGAATGCTCAGTCATTCTCCTTTTGAACTCCCCCTCAGTCACTCTGAACCGGCCATGGTTCATCATGGAACTAAAAAAATCCCTGGTAGGACAATGAAAACTCATCCAAAACCCCACACTTCTCATTCTACTGCCAACTTCCTCTCAATCTCTTCATTACTTTCTGGACAATCCTCTATCAACTTGGTTTTCTTTTTCTGTATTAAGGGAAACAGGAATGGCTCCTCCTTCATTCGGAGCATCTTAAGAGCTAATTTCAGTAGAACAACTCAATTTTTATTGTTACTTCAATCTCATAATATCTAACTCAATTGTTATATATTGCCTCTCCATTGGAATAAATTTACTGTCACCACTGATCTGACCATTCCACTTTACAACCATCAAAATAGGACCAATGGTAGATTTATTGTTCTAATATTGAGAAGAAAGATGAGTCAGTTTAAAAGCTGACTGCTGGAAAACTGATGTTCCTGTGATGCTAAGTGAATAGAAGACAGAGAGCTCACTTGAAAGGAGGTTACTGGTTAACTGGCTTCTCTAATTCACACTCTCAAAGAAGCCCCTTCTGACAAATGCTCCAAAATAAAACACATTTTAAATGAGAGCCCCGTGGCTTATTCCAGTGTTCACATGCACATGAAAACCTTCTATTCACATTAAGAAAAAGGAATTATAAAGACATTGGGAAGAAGTGTTAATATTTCCCTTTCTTTTCCTACACAGGGACTCCACATGGCATTCCAAGAAACACCTCAAGGATGGCCATGTGTGTATGTGCCAATCCAGTTTTCCTTCTCCTATCACTGGAATCCTTTTACTGACAGCCCAAAGTACCCAGGACCTGCAGTCACCTTGAACTTCCCTCACAGAAGTTACAGAAGTTTCCTTCCTTACAGAAAGGTGTTGGTTTGCTGCCTTTCCAGGAGTGCCATCTCTCCTTCCTGGCAGCACCTTGTTTTTTATGCTACAAACAGAGGCATTACTGAAGGTGGAAGAAATCAAGTGCCCTCTACCAACAAGTAGGATAAAACCAAACCTAACTCTGCCTCCTTTCTCCTTCACAACCAGACCCAGGTGCAGCACTGCTGATATAAAAAACAGACTCAAACTTCATGTAATCACACCAAAGATTTGAGGAAACTCCAGAATGAAGAAAAAGGAATGTTTTGAGTCCATTACACAGACTCTGATTTTTTATACACTAAAAACATGGGAACATCAGGAATCTTGTACAAAACCAGCAGACTCCAGTAGGGTACTCAGGGCAGTTCTTAAGCCAGCCTGAACACTAAGAGAGTCAGTCACCCTTTTTTTTAGGGCAATAAAACTTGGAACTTACACACACAACAACATCCTGCTCTGCAGAATTTTCTGACAGAAGCTGTCCGCAAAGTTGGAGCCAAATTTTTGAATAATTTCATTTTCTATGTGCAGTATGAAATAGTCCTGCTGCACTCCAGAACAGGAAAGCATTAAAGAGAGCCACTTATGCCATACAGGGTAGAAGTAAATCATCATGCACCTTAACCCATTCTGGTGCTATCAATTGCCTTGCAATTAAGTAATGATTCTTCTTTCTTCACTTTTCTACACCTTCTGCACTCTGGATAAATACTAACTCTCAGAGAGGTGCTCTGCTGGCCTTGGCAAACAATCCTGACAGACACCCACTTCTGTGAGCTCTTCTTAGCCAGCTCTTAACACATTTAATATGGGATAAAGGACCAGAGGTGTTTCACTTTTCTAAGTTAGGAAATCATGTGGTATTTAGACTTCACAAGTATTTATCAAATAGTTTTTTCACCTAAGTCCATGGTGCTCATTAAAATGCCTTCCTTGCAACATTCAATGCTGTTAATATCTCCAAGCCAAACACCACTGACACTGGATCAATATTCTGAAAGGGTTTGGTTTTGCTGTCACAAATGACACTTAAACCAGCGGTCTCAGAAAAATATACAGTACCAGGAGATGACAAACATAGTCTGTAAAACATGAACCTTAGATAAAAGCAGCTATTTCAGTCTTAAGACTGATTAAAAATTTTAATTCTGTCCAAAATTCCTCCTCATTTATTTATTCTTTCATGCTTAGGGAATGTTATTCTCAAATAATTTTGAATTTATAACACACAATTCAGGGACATTACAATGTTCTAGGATTCTTCTGTATGAACAGCACAAGCCCAGAGAATCCAAACCCAAATTAATATATACAGCAAACACCCTTAGAGCACTCAGCCTTTGTTGGGAAGAGGCAGAAACATGAGACATAAAGGGCACAGAACACTTCCCAGAGCCCAAACCTTGGAGTGGCAACACCACCCAGTACAGAACCTCTGAGAAGATTCAGGCTACAACAGGATTCTTCCAGACAGGGAGTTGATACTACACTAGTGCAAACCTAGGAACAAGCTGTCCTTTCTTTTCAGTCCCTCATTCCTGGTGTCAAAAGACATTTTTTTGACAGCTAACATTTATTGTAAAAAATCATAGACGTGTGTATGGCAGCCCTATGACTTTTCAGCAATTTGTGAACCCTTGTGATCACTGTAAAGGAGCAGAGTTTGACCGTACAAGGGACACCCTTTTCTGGAAGGTGTACTTGTAATGTGAGGCAATTGTGACACCTGATGGCTGTTCCTGTAAAGACCCAAGCACGAGCAGCTTAAATGCTCTTCGGATCCCTGTGAATTAACTTACACTCTCACACACCTCGCACAGAGTCCCCTGATGCTCGAACAAAATCAGCTCAGTGCGCTTTTGCTGAAGCTTTAAGTTCCATGATCCTTTCTGTATATCGAACATATAGGACAGCCAAGACTTACCAGTTTTTCAGCACAGAATTGAAATACCTCTCCTCCCAATTCCAGCATCTCTTTCCACATCAAGTTTTGCCTGATCTCGCACTGCTCCTTCTGCAGGACTCTGTTCTTGAACAAAACTGCAACAGCTCCTCTGAAAAATTCTGACATTTCCTCCCCACCCCAAATAGCTGCACAATTACCAGGGGAAAGGTAAAGTAATAGTTACTGTGGCACATATTCTGTTGTCAAAACTGAGTCCTGTGCCTGGACAGCTCCTCCTAGGAAAGCTGGCATCCACTCAGTCTTGCTTTCAAAAAGGTTTCATTAGATTTGTATACAAATAAAAGCAAAACAATGTGTTTCACAGAACCATAGATGAACAGAGTCTCACAGCTTTCCAGAACGCCACATCATTCTAAATCCTCCCATTTCATGGGCACAAAGGACTGAAAGCAGACTGTTTTTAAAGGCAACTACCTGCCCTGTGCATCATAAAGTAACCTCTGAGAAAAGCCATTCCAAGGAACGGCTAAAATCGAGGGAAAAAAACCTTTAACAGCATAAGACATATCTAATTTAAGCAGATGTTTTAGGCAGAAATTACCAGAACTGTAGGTTACCAACCCTGGAGTGATTTCACCAACACACCTTCCTTGAATTACCTTCAGCAATTGTGTGGCTGAGAAACAGCAGTTTGTAGACACAAAAATAATTCTACTACTTGTGTAGCAAGACATGTTCTTTCCCCACAGTGCTTTGCTTAATGATCCAATTAGTGTTGATACCACTGGACTACACCTTCCTAAAACAAGTCCTGATTAACTGGAGAATAACTTCTTCCTACAGCCATCTAGGTTTAGACTTGAGTACATATGTGACAAGTCATCACAAACCCTTCCAGCGGGGAAATTCAGTGCTCATTTAATGGGAAGAAGGTACATCAAAGATATTAATATTATTTAAGCATACTTAGATCCATACTTCTCATTTCTGCTGTGGGTTGATGAACAGAACCAGATGATGGCAAACCATGACAGAACTAAGACTAAATAGCTTTATATATGTCTTACCTATTTGTTGCTCGAGCCTCTTTCAAGGATCCTCCTGTATGTCTCAGAAACAACATGAAAATAACAAATGCTATTAATTGCAATGCATCCTAGCCTGGAATGCCCTTATGGCACAAGTCAAGCTTGTCTAGACCCAGCAACATCTTTTTAGAGGATTTCATTCCAGCTGAAAGAATACTTATTTCCACCTACAGGAATCCTAAAAAAATCATTTGAGAAAAAAAATAATCACAGAAGTAGCAGAAATGTCATTCATTGAGTGCATTACACTGTGAAAGCAAGTTTCTAAAACACCATTTTTGATAGACACACTGCTACTGCAATAAATATAACATTACTGTAACAATGGAGAGAGTATTCTAACAGTTATGGCTCCTTCTAATTGCCCAACATTTTGGCATAATGTAGAAACAAACCTTCCTTCCCCTTTCCTTCAGTCCTGTTCCAAGTGCAATACTTTAAGTTCCAAGAATATGTCACATGAAAAAATTCACCAGGGAATAAAGTGTAGGTTCATACCTGTTTGGATCTTCCCTGTTAAACTTTGCTCTGGATCCTGGTCTCTGAAATTCCTTTGCTGAACTCCCATTACTTTCATTATGTAACCAGTAACTTTCTTCTCTCTGTCTCCTTCCTGGTATAAAAAGACCTTGTCCTAAAGCTAAAAGTCATGTTAAAAATTCACATACATGTGTATGGCAACCATATGACTTTTCAGGAACTCAACTTGCAAACTGCGAACACTTGTGATCACTTTGCAAATGACAGCAGAGTTTGTACAAGGGACACCAGTTTCTGGGACATGGTCTTGAAACGTGGGACAGTTATGACACCTTATTGCTGGTCCTGTAATGACGTCCAACGTTTTAAGGGTAAACAGGTAGAAAAAGCAGAGACTTCGGAGTTTTAAATCGTGGTGAGGTCACAGTGTAGAAGTAACTCACCCACTGCCACAGCCCTGTTTGCAGAAGGGGCTCCCCAGGGCAGGAGATCCCACTTTGTGCCTGCAGAGCCTTCTCAGAGCTCCCTTCACATTCAGCCACGAGGCTGCTCTGAGGAATGCCCAGCACAAGTGGTTGGCAACAGGCTGGCACCCCAAACATTCCATGACCCCACTGCTACCATAGCAACAGGCTGGCACCCCAAACATTCCATGACCCCACTGCTACCATAGCAACAGGCTGACACCCCAAACATTCCATGACCCCACTGCTACCATAACAACAGGCTGACACCCCAAACATTCCCAGCAGCGCTGCCTCCTGGGAACCAAATGGTGAATCCATGGTTACCACAGGAACAGCCTCTCACCAGAAAGCAAAAATCAAGACTCAATCAAAACACACTCTTCTCATCCTGCTGCCAACTTCCTCTCAACCTCATCATTACTTTCTGGACATTCCTCTACCAACTTGGTTTCATTTTTCTGTATTAAGGGGAAAGGGGAGAGCTCCTCGTTTATTTGGAGCATTTTCACAGCTAATTTCAGTACAACAGCTCATGATTGTTACCTCAACCTCATAACATACAACACTACATAAAATAGTCTCTCCACTGGAATAAATTTTCTGTCACCACCGATCAGCCCATTGCACTTTACAACTGTCAGAACAGCACCAATGTTAGATCTACTTATTCTGTCATTCCTATATTGAGACCAGTGAAGAATAAGCTTAAAAACTTGTTGCTGGAAAATTAATGTTCTTACAACATTAAGTAAAAAGAAAAGACAGATTGCAGCTCACTCAGGAATGTCATTGCTGGGTTACTGGTTCACCTAATTCACACTCTTGAAGCTCACAAATGCTCCCAAATAAAACACATTTTAAAGATGAGAGCCCTGTGGCTTATTCCAGTGCTTAAATGCATCTGAAAACCTTCTAATCACAACTCAAGAAAGAAGTATAAAGACACTGATAGAGATTGTGCCTATTTCCCTTTTTTTCCCCATCCAGCTCAGAACAGGTCTATATACACCCAGCATGTACACATATGCAGCAAGCTCTAACTACTGGATGTGATTTATGAGTCTATTGAAGTAAATATAGAATTTTATTACCATTTTAAATCGGCTCCAAGCCACCTAAATTCATTCCAACTGGATGTAAAGCTAAAGAGAGTGCAGAGCACTCAATATTAATGTATGTCTATATTGGAAAACGTGAGATGTTTCTCCTTTTCTCAAATGAGTCCACAGCATTACTGGAATAATTCTGAGCTCTAGCAAAGCATTGCCTTTATATTTCCATGTACAAGGATTTGGGCTTTGTTAATGGAGATACTTCAGTTTAAGTCTGTTTTTCTTCATTTACAGCTAAAATATTTCTATGAAGATCAAATCTCTTTCAGATGCCATTTATTCCTATCTTGAATCCAAATCACTCACATATAACTAACTTACAATATCCACATTTAACTGGAAAACAAGTTTACTGCATTTCTACTATAAATGATATCTTTTTCCCACCTGCAAGTTAGTTACAAATACAGACTCTAATTTTTGCTCAAATTTCCAGCCTTGACAAAGCAGAGTTTCATTTGTACTCTGGATTTCCATCTCATGTCTATCCATAGAGTGTAAAAGTAAATATATAATGCATTCAGCTCCCCTGATTTTTTTAATACACTAAAATGAAAAGGAAAAACCACCAAAACACCCCAGACTCCAAAAGCACCGAGAAGTAAGAAAACCTTTTGCATTAGCACAGCTCACTAAATGGTCCAGTTATTCCATATAGCAGCTGCATCTTGCCCATTTACCAAACTGGTCATTTTTGTCATGCATAATATATTCATCAATACATAATTATTTCCAGTTGAACAATGAAAATACTCAGAGAGGTGCTCTGCTGGCCTTGGCAGACGATGCTATTTCCCCACAGCACCCACTTCTGTGAGCAATTCTTAGCCAGTTCTTAACACATTTAATATGGATTAAAAGACGAGAGGAGTTTCACCTTTCTAAGTTAGGAAATCACAAGGTATTTAGACCTTTTGAACATTTACAAAACACTATTTTAACCTTTAAAGATCAGAATTTTCAACTTGTGTTGTCAGTGTTCATTAAAATCCTTTCTTTGCAACATCCAATGCGTTTAATATTGCTAATATCCATCAGCTTATAAGGGACAGTCCTACAAAGAGCTTCTAAGCCAAACACCACTGAGACTGAACCAACAACATTCTGAAAGAGTTTGATTTTGCTGTTGCAAATGACACTTAAATCAGATGTTTCAAAAAAATCTACAGTACCAGGCAGCTGAAAAACATAGTCTTGGAGATGTGAACCTTAGCCAAAAACATTCATTTCACTCTTAAAATTGATTCATATTTTAAACCCCTATTCAAAATGCTTCCCCATTTGCTTATTCTTTCATGTTTAGGGAATGTTACCCTCAAATAATATTGTGAATTTATAATATTCAATTCCTCAGAGAGATTACAATGTTTTAGGATTCCTCTGTAAGGACAGTGCAAGCCCCGAGAATCCAAACCCAAATTAATATATTTAGAGAGAGAACCCTTAGAGCACTCAGCCTTGTTTGGGAAGTGGTACAAGCACAACACACAAAGGGCACAGCACACTTCCCAGAGCCCAAACCTTGGAATGGCAACGCCATCCAGTACAGAACCTCTCAGAAGATCCAGGTTATAACAGGTTTATCCCAGGGATGCCACCATAATGCAAATCCAGGGAAAATCACGCTACTGCCTCTGGAGACACCTTCCCTCTGCACTCCTGTACTGTCACTGCTCCTCTCCCAGGAACAAAATATTAAGTTCCAAGAACATGGCACATGAAAAAAATCCATCAGGGAGTTGGATCCTCCTCCTAAACGTCTCTCCTAACACTACAGTCTTTGTAAAACTCTCACTACTTTTGTTATGCTACAAGAAGCTCTCCACTTTCTTCTCTGTCCCTCATTCCCGGTGTGAAAAGGGCCTTTTTTTAAGCTAAAAATAGTTTTTAAAATTTGTACACGTGTGTGTGGCAACCACATGGCTTTTCAGGAATGTGACTTGCGACTTGTGAGCCCCTGCGATCACTCTATAAATGACAACAGTTTAAAGCAACACCATTTTCAGCGACGCCTTCTTGGAACGTGGGCAATTGTGACACCTTATGGCCGTTCCTGTAATGGCCTTCAACGTTTTAAGGGTGAACAGATTGAAAACTAGAAAGTTAATAGTTTGAAATCCTGGTTTGGTCACAGGGTACGAGTGACTCACCCACCACCACAGCTTTGTCTCCAGGAGGGGTTCTCCAGGGCAGGAGATCCCACCAAGACCATTCTGTGCCTGGAGAGCCTCCCCAGGGCTTCATCCACACTCAGCCACAAGGCTGCTCTGGGGAGTGCCCAGCACAACTGATCAGCAGTGGACTGTCACCCCAAACATTCCAGTCATCAACTGCTACCATAGCAACAGGCTGTCACCTGAATATTCCCAGGAGAACATTCCCATAGTAACAAAAACGTGTGGGTACCTGGTACATCCTGGGCTCCTCAGCATGGACTGTGTGAGTTCATTCCAGCCTTTCCTCAGGCTTCCCCATAAGCAAAAAGAGATTATCCATAAATTAACATGTAGAAAGTCACCACAATACTCACTCTCCACTAAGTTTCTAACAGCAATCACAGGCTGCTGCCCCAAGAACGTTATTTATACCCTGCCTTTCCCTCAGGCTGTGAATTTACCCATAATATTATGCAGGTGGCTCCCACCATCAGCCAGAATGCTTCCAGCTGACTTAACCAATTAAGTTAGGTTTTACCTTATAAAACCCTTCACTGGAAGCTGGGGCAGCTTAGGGAAAGGTGGTATGGCTTGAAGAGGTCACTGTACCTTTTTAGGCTATATTACAGAGGGCTTCTTGAAAGGAGAGGAAACAGTGTCATGTTGTCTTTGTCAGGCTTTATGTAAGAGGTTTGAACTTTTACTCAGTTTCACAGGGTAATTTAGGTTGGAAAAGGTGCTCGAGATCAACAAGTCCAACCCCAAACTATGCACCAAAGAGACACATTTTAACTGTGCGCTTTTTAAATCTCTTCAGGAATGCTCGCTCTGCTTCCCTGGGCAACCTGTTCCAGTAAAGAAATTCTTCCTAATATCCAATATAAACCTTCCCTGGCATAACTTGAGTCTGTTTGCTCTTGTCCCTGTTAGCTGGGAGAAGACATGAACCCCCACCTGACTGCAACCTCCTTTCAGGTAGTTGCAGGGAGGGATAAGGTCCCCCCGAGCCTCTTTTTTCCAGGCTAAACACTCCCCATTTGGAGAAATTCTGTCAGTGGGCTAGAGCCCTAAAATATTCTTTAAGCACAAAGGTGAGAATGGGCAGCTGGGGAGATGAAGGTTAAATGAGTGTCCTTGCTGGTGGGGGGTGGTGCATTCTACAAAAGCAAAAGAAATACTCAGATGATGACGAGTTACAACTCTACAGCTGGTTTCTGACAGAGAAGGAAGGATCTGAAACCTGCTTCTTGTTCTGGTTTGAATGCAAACAGCAGTTCTTTGGCTGTGCTTCTGTAGGTTCATCATCGCTTAATTTTCTCACTTGGAATAAATACATGGCTAGATTTTTATTTGTGGGGGAAGAACAGTACTTTGTATTAAACCAGGTTTATTTTTTTAATTGTGGCAGATGCAAATGCACCATAGTGACACACGATGTTAGCAAAGTACAACGGGCTCTTGGACTGCCTGTAAACACCTTGAAGTTAATTATTCACTTGTCATTCATTCAGTTATTCATAAAGCAATTCATGTTCATTAGAACTAGAGTAATTGTTGAGGTATGGCAAAGAAAGTGGCAAAAACTCAAGAAGCTTGAGTTATGCTAAGCCTGATATTTCTAAGGTTATTTAGGATTTTTAAATTAAATACTGTAGATATTTCTCACTTGTGTTTGCTCATAATTCTAGCCTCAACTTGTTCTAAATCTAATGCTGGATGTAGGTTAAAACCTGGTTGCATAAATTCCTAGAAACTGGAAATAAAATACATACTTTAGGCTTAGATGGATTAATATTTTAATTATGTGTTTTATTTATGATAATCCTCATTTCCACTGTTTTTTTCAGATCACAGTGAGAGGAAGCAACAGCATGGGAATAATTTTTCCTTTGAGTTGGAAGATACAATGAATTATACCACAAATGAAATATATTTCACAAGAGATTCAGACATTACAGCCTGGCTGCTCATACAGTGGGATCACAGTGACATTAAGGAGAGTGTGACTGACCTAAGGCAGCAAGTTGTCCCAATAGCTCAAACCAAATGGTCTCATTTCTAGACTGAATTCCACCTGGGTTAGGTCCCACCACTGTGTGCTACCATGTATCTGCTGATGGATCAAGGAATCATTAGTTATTACAGATCTCATCCAATGTAATCAAGCAGGGATGTTAACCAGTTAACCTTATACCTTCCATTGCCTCATGCTTCTTTGTGATTCTGAGCTTAAACATGAAATCTGGAATTGTTCTCTGGTATCCTGCAGACTACATAGATCCCAAACTGAAGAACCAAAACATTCCATCCTTTTTGAGCATACCAGCAGTGACACGTGTGACAAATGGCTGTTACAGTTACTTAGCTAAGCACTGTGAAAATTAGGATATTTTATTGAACTTGTTGGATCTTTCGTGCTTCAGATCTGTGAGTGCTGAAAGTCTTGTAGGAACAGCTCACTGTTTGCTTACAGAAGAGTCTGGTTTTTACCTCTGGCCCACAAGATAATTTTAAAAACATGCCTTGTTATTAAAATATTTTTGGATGCAGATTGTACCAGAAACTGTCAAACTTGGTGAAAAACAGAAGCTTTACTCAATCTACAAGGTATGAAACTACATCCATCACAGCAAGACTGAAGCACCTTACTCAAAATGAGAAAAGGGCATTTGTGCTATAGTGGCTGAAACAGATGGACCTTAAAAATCTGTCATCAGCAACTAATATTTTGATATTGGAACATTTTTCAGAAATCAAAAGTTGGCAAATCTGGATATGTCCCATTACACATCCCACTTGTTTTCTTCCAAAGCATTTTTCTTCTAGTATCCAGGTACCACTCTCAAACAGCAAACATAGGACTAAAGTTTTGCATTTCTTCCTGTTGCAGAAACTCCTGTATCTGTGGGAATGAAAGAGCCATGAAAGGCCATCTCATAGAACCAAAGTGAAAATTACACTTGTGGAATGCTCACAGAACGTGCATCCAAGCCATAGCATGAGAAAGCAGCAGTGCACATCAAGGCCAAGAAATCCCATGGGACTTATGTACCAGATCGTGATCTTCCTTAGGCATTTGGAGTCAATCTGGGCTTGTTTCACCCCTTCTGCAGAAAGATTTGTGCCATCCTTGGTGAAACCCAAACCCAGTCTTGGCTTTTTGTGAGGAAATGGAGAGGAGAGATGTAAAGCTCGTCTTCGCTCAGGCTGACAGCCTGTTTCACACCCTCAAACCTGACCCACATCTCCTGAACCTCAAACCTGACCTGTCTCCTGAAGCACAGCTCCCCTCTGCACACAGCTAGGCTGCTTATTTCCAGGGAATGGCTCCTGGGCACAGTTCCCTGGGCTGCAGTAGCTCATGTTCACACGCCAGGGCTCCCTGCACTACCAAATCCCCTCCCGTTGTTCCCCGGTGAGCGTGTCAGAGCACCCAGCACACAATCGGAGCTCAGCACTGCGGCTGCCTCCGAGCCTGTCTTAGGGAAAGACTTAGCCCTCAGAGGGAAAACACATCGCAGAACACTGCGAGTTGGAAGGGATCCACAGGAATCGTCAGGGTTGGAAGGGACCTCTGCAGATCACCCTGTCCAACTCCCCTGCCAGGGCACGGCCACCTGGAATCATGGAATCAGAGAATCATGGAATCAGCTAGGTTGGAAGGGACCTCCGAGATCATCAAGTCCAACCCTTGATCCACTACCGCCGTGGTTCCCAGACCATGGCGCTAAGTGCCACATCCAGTCTCATCTTAAACCTCCGGGGACGGAGAATCCACCACTTCCCTGGGCAGGTTTGGAATGTCTCCAAAAGAGGGAGACTCCACGACCTCTTCAGGCAGCTTGTTCCAGCGCTCTGCAATCCTCGGCGTAAAGTTCTTCCTTGTGCTGAGGTCAAACTTCCTGTGTTTTAATTTACGGCGACAAACATGGATCATGAAGCCCCTGAACCGGACCGTCCCCAGCAATCCCAGCCCGTGCCCGAGGGCGCTGTCCAGACGCCCCCTGAGCTCCGCCAGGCTCGGTGCCGCGCCCGCTGCCCGGGCAGGGGCGGGATATATTGACCGCTTGGATGTGCGCAGACCCCGTTTTTATCCCCGACACGAGGCTCTGCGCTCCGTGGCACCTTTAGGACCCTCTGCCCCCTCACACCGCACCCTCTCCGCCCCCGCAGAGCTCCGCCCCGCCTGCCCCGCCCCTCCGTGACGTCACGCAACCACGCCCCCTCCGCGAACGTCACTGCGCGCGCGCCGTCCCGTCGTGCCCCGCGGGACCCGTTGCGCCTCCCCGGCGGCGGCGGCGCTGCCCGGCCCGGCCTGGTCCCGCTCCCGAGCCTTTCCCGGCCTCTTCCCGAGCCATTCCCGGCCCCTTCCCGCAGCCCCCAGCGGGAGCCGCCCCGCTCCGCCATGCCCCCCAAGAAGCAGCAGCAGCCGGCGGGGGGCAGCAAGAAGGCGGACCAGAAGAAGAAGGAGAAGATCATCGAGGTGAGGGAGGCCCCGGGGCCGCTCTCCCGCCGCGGCCTCGCGCCGGGCCCGGCCCGGCCCGGCCCTCCCGGCGGCTTTCCCGGCTGGAGGGGCCCGGGGAATGGCGTTCCCGGGGGGTGCCGGGGCGGTGCCGCAGCTCTGCCCGGGCTGCTCTGGGTCCAGCGGGGCATTTCCAGGCCGGAGCTGCGTTTGCTCCGGCCGTGATCTGGCAGCGGCCCTCGGCCTTCTCCCCTCTCCCTTTCCCACGCCCCTCCCGGTGCCCTGGGTGTTCCTGTATTCCCCCAGGCCGGCTCGCCGAGGTGTAGGTTTGCGTCCTTGCGGGTTGGACCAGGTGCTCTCTAGAGGTTCCTTCCAAGCTTCACAACTCTGTGATTTCTCGCTCAGTTTAAAACACGGGTGTGGTTTGTTTTGCGGCGTCTTGTTACAATTCGACCCATGTGACCAGATTTTTTTAAAAGGCTGCCAGAGAGGTGTCTGTGTGTCTATGTGTGTGGCTGTGTGTCTTGGTTATTAGGACAGTCACACCTTATGCTAACAACGACAGAATTTGTATTGAGAGCACAAGCAGGGCAGTTATAGAAAATTACATATTTGCCTGAGTTTATTGGCATAAAAGACAGCAGCTGCTCAGCTGTTAAGGCAGAACATCCGTGTGATGTGAGTGTTCTTTGGCATCTGAGGCTGCAGGATGTTGTTTCTGTGCTCTTTGGAAATAAGAGGTTAGAGCAGTTGGTCCTGTGTTCTCCTGGCTTTGGACTTTCTGAGGTTCCTACAGAATCCAGCTGCATAAGAAAATTCTACTTATGGCAAAGACATGCAGCTGGAAGGGGAAAAGCTTGCCTTGATTGTTAACAATAACTTACTGTATAATTCAAATACAGAGGGATTATATCTTCCATATGGCATTTACAGTGGAAATCAAGCGTGTGAATGATAGATTTTCTTTCCCAAATGATTGTTTCGACTTCTCAGATTAGCACAAAGTAACAGAAGACCAGCTGGTGTTGATAGAGGATATGCCGTAAGTGAATCAGAGCTGTTTATTCTGTAATTATTTTATCACGGATTTTTGGATTGTTAGGGCTTCCAAAATTATGTTTGAACTGAAGTGTTACCACTGGATGAACATCTGTTACTTTTTTCTGGAAGGAAAGGAACGCTGATATCAAATCAAAGGCACAGGTGGTTTTTAATGCAGGTATTTCAGTAACTGCTGCCTCAGGTGCTTGTGTGAAAGTGAGATGTATGGGGGTGTTTTTTTGTAAGTTGTTTTTACTAGGTTTGGTATGGAAACATCTCGTTATCAGTAAAATTGAAGATCTAGAGGAAGAATTGGTTCAGGCAGTAAACAGAAACTTCTGGCAGTGGGGTTTAGGAAGTAGAAACACCTGTCAGGAGTTCATGTAGGGGAAAGACTTAACTACAAATTAGTACAGTTAGAAAATGAAAAGCTTAAAATACTTTAAATTAAGAAGTGGTATGTTACATGTGGTAACAGGCATCTGCATAACATACATCACATTTATATGTGAATACTTGAAGACAGAAGTAATAAGTGATTTCAGGTAGATAGAAGAAAAAACGACAGCATTTATGGCTAATCAATCTTTATATTTTCCTCAGATATTACTTGGGTAGTGTCCAAAAATATCTTGTCCTGTTGCCTTGAGAATGCTGTGTGTACACACTGACACTGGGACACAGGAGAGCTAGTCATAAAAACAAGAGCTCACACAAGGCAGCATTTAGGAGGTTGTGGCAAAGGTTTATTCTCAAGATATTGTGAGGAATCCACATTTTGTCCATACTGTTTCTTGGATTGCTTGTGCTGCTGGAGGAAATGATCTGTGTTTCACTGAAAACTTGAAAGGAGTGGCAAGGGTGGGATTTTTTTATTGTTTTGTTTGGTTTGGTTTTTTAATTCACTATGGCTATGTTTATCTCTTGATTTAGGACAAAACATTTGGCCTAAAGAATAAAAAAGGTGCAAAGCAGCAGAAGTTTATCAAGGCTGTGACTCACCAGGTGAAGTTTGGTCAGCAAAATCCCCGTCAGGTAAGCATTTATTGTCCAGTGTTTGTTGTAATTTTAAGTGGAAACAAGTCTGAATCTATTTGTTGAACTCTTTGGTCCAAGAAACTGAAATTCTGAGCCACTGCCTGCTACTTTGCTCTTCTGTATGATGAAATAAAATGAGGTACAATGGTTAGGTTATACTTAATCAGAAAATGTGGATTTAATGGAAATATTATAATGGAAATGATGCAGGTCTCTTATTCTCTCAGTGCTGGGGAGGCTGGTTGTTAATTATTTACAGAGCTTTCTGTTCTATGAATAAGCCTGTAGAATAATTACATTTTGTCAGCTAAAGTCAGGAGGTCATGATGCATTCCTTGAATAACATAAGGATGAACTAACAGATGTCAGGTACAATTTGAAAAGTAAAGCTGATGTTCAGGTCATTAGATCTAGGAATTTCTTGTAGTGGAAAAGATTCCTTGGTGTCACTTGAAAAACACCGGTGGTGTTCAAACAGTTCTTCTGAAACTTGTCTGTGAAATCCGTGGATCCGTGGCATATATAGGAATACCAGTGTGTAAATGAGCCAGCCTAAAGTCATTTATTTCTTAAATGCTGGTAGCTATTGACTGATGGATGGCAGAAGCAAATTTTTAAACCTGTTTATACCTTTCTTACCTTATAAAATAGCTTTCAGTTAGGGCTGTCCTTGAGAAAGAAAGCATTTTAAAGCAGTTTTCCTCGTGTCCTGAAATGAAAATGAAAATGCTGTCAGAGTTTTGGCCT